TGGTGTAGGACGGGGCAAAGGTTAGATCTGTGGTTCATAGAATTGCTGTGAGTCATAGAGAGAGCTCTGTTGGCCTAGTGGACAGAGTTATGCTACCAAGTCAAAGGTGGGTGATTTTAATCTATGGCCCTCAGGCCTCGTTTTAATTGTTTTTAGTCAGACATTCTTCTAAGTGGTATAGCACTGGTCTGTCCATTACTGTACAGAGGTAATTTGTGGTTGCTGTGAAGCTGACCACTGTGACCCTGATGTGTCAAATATGAGAATGGTCACCCATGGTGGACAGTGTTTGGTGGAGCTCCCCGATTAAAACAAGCTTGGAAGCAGGAGTGGCGTCCACTTCCGAAATGGTTTGCCTCTGGAAACTCTATGAACTTGGAGAAACTATGAAAGTTATACAAGTGTTCAAGTCTTTTGTTCATAGAGTCATTATGAGTCATCTATGTCTCGATGACACTTAACAACAACAAATAATCTGTTTGTAAAATTTAAAAAAAAAGTTAAAAACCACACTGTATACTTGTGACTCAAGAAAGGAAGGTGGATGAAATGAGTACTGCCTGGCTTGGGGGTGTTGATTTGACTTTCAGGAAGTTCTTCGTTTTTAAGATGAGTGTTTGAATGGAACTGTTTTTAACTAAGTTCCTTGTTTCTGAAAATGGCATTGAGTCTAAGGAGAAGCTCATAGCTTCCCTCGCTGGGCACATCCTCTTTCCCTCCCCAAATCATCCTGGTTTAGAAGAGAAAGTACACGATTCTCCTCCCGCCCCAGCAGAGGATGCCTCTTATCTGCTCCTCAGGCCCCTTGAGAACTCTCGTTCCTGTCCCCTTGGCCCTTGTCCCCACACCGGCCGCTGTGACCCTGTTCTGAGTCACGGAGACCCCATGCATCACAGTAGGCCCACCCCAGAGGGATTTCATGGCAGTAACCGTACAGCAGCAATCACCAGGCCTTTCTGACACAGCCTTTGGGTCAGCAGTCCAGCTTGGGCCACCCAGGGACCTACTCTCAACCTTTAGACCTGTCCACTCATTGCTCTTAACTTACAGCAGCCCTGGAGTGGCCCTGGAGGGCCCAGGAGAAGCACCCTGTAGGTTCTAAAGCTGTGATCGTTTCAGTAAATGACCTCATCTGCCCCCGGAAGAGGATGCCATATAGACGTGTTTTGGTTTGTTTGCTTTTGATGAACTGGCTGTTGTGACAACCCTGCTCATCTATTGTTGTTACGTGGCCTTATGTCAACTACAACTCAGAGCGATCCCGTCAACAACAGCTTCGAAGTGCTGTCTGAATCCAGTCTCACCGTCTCTGGCACACCTGCCCCCGTTGCCACAGTCAGTGTCAATCCATCTCATTCAGTCTTTCTCTCCTGTGCTGACCCTCCACCCTTTTAAGCATGATGTTTTTCTCCGGGGCCAAAGTATGTGAGATGGAGCTTCAAAATCCTTGTTTCTAAGGAGAAACTTGGTGCCACCCTCTCTAAAACAGACCGTTTGTTCTCTTGACAGTCCATGATATATTTAATACTCTTCTCAAGCACCACAACTCAAAGGCATAGATTTTTCTTCTGTCATCCTTAGTCAGTTGTCCAGCTCTCAGATGCATAACAAGTAATTGAGAAGACCGTGATCTAGATCAGGCACACCTTAGTCTCTGGGCTAACATCGTTGCTCCTTTGCCCACTGGAGAAGTCCCTGACAGCAGATTTTCCCAAAGTAATTCATCTTTTGATTTTTCTGGCTGCTGATTGCAAGAGTGTTGAGTGTGGATCCAAGAAAGGTGATATTGTTAACAACTTGAATCTCTTCTCCAACTATCGTGATGCTGTCAGCAGTGGTGAGGATCTTTGTTTCCTTGATGTTGAGATGTAATTCATATTAAAGACTGCAGTATGCTAAGAAATTTGGGCAACTGACTGGAAGAGATCCATATTTGTTCTTATTCCAAAAGAAAGCAATCCAATAGAGTGAGGAAATTATAGAATCATTGGTATCACATGCAAGTAAAGTCTTGCTGAAGATTATGTAAAAATGGCCAGAATAGTACATCTATAGGGAGCTGCCATCCTGTGAGTTTGAACCTCCGGTGTTTCTATTAGCAGTTGAACACTTTAGCCACTATACCACCTGGGCTCCTTCTGTCCACCCTCAGACATCAGGTCTCCTTAGTCCCCCACATCTAAGTGGCTCCACAATCAACACTGTTGGCACCAGCATTCAGGAATCAAAAGACAAATTGCACTGGGAAAATCTGCTGTCAGGGACCTCTCTAGAGTACTGAGAGGCAACGGTGTCAGTCTAGAGACCAAGGTGGCCTGATCCAGGCCATTCTTAACAATTACTTGCTATACATCAACGAGCTGGACAATGACTAAAGATGATAGAAGAAGAATTGGTGCTTTTGAGTTGTGGTGCTGGAGAAGAGTCTTAAACATACCACAGACCACTAAGAAAACAAATAGGTCTGTCTTAAAGAGGGTGAAACCAAGTTTCTCCTTCAAGGCTAGGATCCTGAAGCTCTCTCCCACATACTTTGGGCACGTGGTCAGGAAGGACTGGTCCTTGGAGAAAGTCATCATGTTCAGAAGGGTGGAGGGACAGTGCGGGAAAGGAAAACCCCAGATGAGATGGATTGATACTGTCACTGGGACAATGGGGGTAAGTGTGCCAGGGTCAGTGAGACTGGCTCAGGACAGGGCAGGCTTCAGAGGTTCATCAGGTCACTTTGAGTTGCAGGCAACTAGATGTCACATAACAACAACAACAACAACAACAACATTACTATATGGCTCAAACCTTACTCTTTACAATATAGTGAATACAGTCACATTTCAGTCCATGGAATAGTTGAAATGCTTAAACAGCAAATTGTTTTTTGCAGTTAGGATGCCATGGGACACACGGGGATGGGGGTGGGGGGAGATTCACAGCTCCAAGATCACAAAGCAGATTCGTTCTGTTTTCCTCTTTTCCCCACCATTGATGATTCTGTATTTGTTATGAGTTGGTTATGGCACTGTGCTCAATTTCAGAGGACTTGGTGATTACGAATTAATTCTGACAATTCTGTATAATCTAATCCGCACTGAGGACATAATTTTCTTAATAATATAACGATATAATCTCAGAATTACCACTGTGGCTAATGATTATTCATGTAGAGGTTGCGTCTTCTAAAATTAATATTAAAAATAGAATTCCCTGGATTTTAAACTGAATTTTATTACATATGTTTTGTTTTAAAGGGAAAGTATTGCAGTATATAAAAATGAGGGATTCTTTTGACCAGTGTGGCTACGTCCTAGATTCACACAGCTCGCTAGCTTCCTGTCACCAGAACTCCCTCATATGTGTCATTGCTGTTGTACAGTGCACGGATCCGTGGACAACGGCTCTGAACCCTGTCCTATCCAGTGCCATCCTCACAGTCTCTGGGACACTTGACCCCATTTCTGCAATCACTGCGTCCATCCACCTGATTGAGGCTCTTCCTCTCTCTTGCTGCCCCTCCACCTTTCCAAGTCTGATGTCCCTCTCCGTGGACTAGCCTCTCCTAGAAACATGCCCGAAGTATGTGAGAAAAAACTTTGTTATTTTTGCACTCTGGCTGTACCTTCTCCAAGACACATATGTTTATACTCAGTGCTCTTTCCAACACCACAGCTCTCCAATGTACAACAAGTGACCGAAAAGACCATGGCCTGGATCATATGCACTGTAATCCTCAAACTGACATCATTAACATCAGACCTTCTCAGAGAAAGACATCTCCTGATCTTTCCTGACTGCCAGCAAGAGTGAGAGATTATATATAATATATATATTACAAGCACACAACAACAACAACAACAACAACAAAATAACTACAAACAACAACAAAAACCTGTGTACAATAGCCCCAAACCCTACTCTATCCTGTACCAATCTCACTGTCTCCAACACACCTACTCACATTACTCCAACCACTTAATCAATACAACTCATAGAGAGTCTTCCTCTCCTGCACTGTCCCTCCACCCTCCTAAGTGTGACGTCCTTCTCCAAAGACTGGTCCTTCCTTGCAACATGTCCAAAGTATGTCAGATGAAGCTTCAGAATCCTTGCCTCCAAGGAGCATCCTGGTTTAACCCTCTCCTGGATGAACTTGTTTGTTTTCTTAGCAGTCCATGGTATTCAATACTCTTTTCCAACACCACAGCTCAAAGGCATAAATGCTACTTCTATCCTCCCTAGTCATTGTCCAGCTTTCTGATGCATAACAAGTGATTGCAAAGACCATGGCCAGTATCAGGTGCACCTTAATCTCCAGAGTGACACCATTGCTCTTTAGTATTTTGGAGAGGTCCCAAACAGCAGACTCTTCTGTCACAATATGTCTTTTAATTTTCTGGCTGCTGGTGCCAAGAATGTTGACTGTGGAGCCAAGCAAACTAAAGCTGTGAACAAACTCAGTCTCTTCACCATCCATCCTGATGCTGCCAATTGGTCCAGTGGTGAGAATCTTTGTCTTCTTGACATTGAGCCTCAATCCATATTAAAGGCTGCAGTTCTTGACCTTCTGCATATATGTATATATATTCCCCCTCAAATCATTTTCTCAGTACACAGATTGAATGAGTATGTGAGAGGATACCATCCTGACGCACACCTGCCCAATTTTTTTGTTTTTTTAATTATTATTCATTTTAATGAAAGTTTACAGAGACTGAGGACTTCCATTTATTCATTATTGCACTTTTCTCCCTGCCCATCTTTCCTTCCCCCCAATTCGCTCTTCTCTTTGAAAAGTAAAAGACAAATTCTTTCATTGTTATCACCTTCCCGATTTTAACCAAGGGGACTGGAGCCCTGGACAACAGTCTTGCTCTGTTTGCCATCATGTCTACGTGTTTATTGAGAGGACTCTTTGTTCATGTGGATTTCCTTGCGGGCGCCCTGCTTGATGTTCCTCTATGAGGGGTGACCTTCTGAGCCTGTCCCTGCCTCTCTCTAGGTCCATCATGGAGCCCCTCTGTCCACTCCTGCTTGTGGGGTTTAGTTGGCCACTTGCGGGCGCTCTGGAGGACAACCAGACCACCATACCAGAAGGTAACGGGACCACCACCCCAGGTGAGGACCCCTGCCTCCTTCTCACCACCCAGACAGTCCCCACTACCACCCGCAGAGCCCTTAGATGGTTCAGGGGTGCAGGGTGGGGCAAAGTGGGGAGGGTGCGGAAGGCAAAAGGGGTTGATCCTAAAGTGTATATAACATCCCCTCAGGCCAGAAGCATGGATTGCACCATATCTGGGCAGCCTGGTGTTTGGGGAGCGCTGGCTCCAGGCACAGGGGGATGGAGGGGTGACAGGAGCACAGAGGGTTAAAAATCCCCCTCCCTCACCTGGACCTGCTCCAGCTCATCTCAAACAAGCCCAGGGTCAGCAGGGAATGTAAGCTTGGCCTGAAAATTGACAGCATTGGCCAATAAATTATTACTATTCTGAGGGGAGATCCTGGTATACTAATTATGGTTATTGTTTAAAAGCACAAACCCTGTGTTTTAGATGTGCACATCACAGTGTTTACAAATGGAATGGTTCTCTGACAGAGAGGGCAGGAAAGGAGAGGTGAGAGGAGAACTGTTCTGTGCTGATCTGAGAGGCGGACGGCAGAACAAGCCCGGGGCTTGTCGGGTGGCTCTGACCCTCAGCGACCCCGTGGGACAGAGAGTTGCCCTGGGGTGTAAATCTTTACGGAGCATACCACCTCATCCTTCCCCACTCAGGGGCTAATGAGTTCAAAGTTCAAAGCTCTAACCTGTCAGTCAGCGCTGCAGTCCCACGGGACAGGTGTGCAATGGGACTGTCACTTCATGGCTGGAGCCCTGTTCTGGAGCCCTGTACCTGCAGCAGGTCAGGTCTCAGGTCCTGTGCCCCTCTGTGACCAGGGGAACCTGGTCTGTTCACACCTCAGGCCCCCTGAACCCAGAGACCCCATAGGCAGGAGTTCCAGCGCCACCAAGCAGAAGTTGGCCCCCTGACATCAACCACTATGCAAATGCAGAAATGGGGGTTCATCTGCAGCCACACCCATTGAGGTGATGGGAATTTTCACCGTTGGAGGGGGCCTGGGGTCCCCAATGAGAGGGACAGACCCCTCACCTCGGGGAAGGGGACCTCACACCCAGAAAGGAGGCCTGGGTGGTGGGTGGGCCCTTGTGGAGGGGGCAGGCCCCCGCTTTGCTGAGGGTCACCTCTATCCAGGGTGTCCTCTCTGCCCCAAGTGCCCCTTTGTTGGATGTCAGCTCTGTTGAGTGTCTGCTCCATCCCGGGGACCCTGTGTCAGCTTGGCTAGCTGTCCACACTCCTGAGGTGTATGCTCCTCAGAGTGTCCCTTCTGCCAGATGTCAGCTCTGCCGAGTGTCCCCTCTGGGGTCCTGATGATGTTGTCGGAGGGGCCCTGGGACTCTGGTCCCTGGACAGCTGTGCTGACCTGTGGTCATAGAGCCTGGCCCACGGAGCAGTCAGAAGGTTGCTCGGTGTGGCCCTGCCCGGCTTTGCCTGGGACCCAGACAGCTCCTCTGGGCTGGGGTCACTGTCTCCCAGCTGGGCTCTTCAGGGATACCAGTCGCTGGTCCCCAGGGCCACAAGCCAGAGGGAGGGGACATAGCACTGCCTGTTGTCACGATGATTGGGAGTTTTAGATCTGCCGGTGGGCTGGCATGGGCTGCTGCCCTCAGCCTGGCCTCGGCGCCCCACAGTGTCACCATGGCACCACCGCTGGGACCTACTCGGCGTACACGTACTGACCACGGACAGGGTCCTGAAGCTGGGGGGCACCCGGGAGCATAGGACGCCACAGGAAGCAGTCACCCCACACCTGAGGGGACATTCTACGAGCTAAAGAAAGACACACCAGCCCCAACCTTTAGAAGCCATGGCGTCCAGCAGGTGGTGGACACAGCTCATCAAGCTGTCTGTGGGTGCAGAGAACTCAAGAGGTGCACCCACAATGAGGTCACGCTGGCCCCCAGAACTATCCTAGGCCAGAGCCAAGGGGTATCCCACATAGTCACCTCCACTGTCACCTCACTAGGTGATGGAGAAACCACGAGGTCTGGGGAACAGGCCACTGGTCAGGGTAGGTGTGGAGCTGATGAGGTGACTGCCGATAAACTGTGGAGTGAGATCCTGTGTCAGGATGAAGTACCGGTGGAGGGACGGCCTTGTAAACTGTAGAGAGTGTGGGCTGGTGTGAGGAGGAAGTGCTCAGAGAGGAGGAAATTGTAAACTGTAGAGTGAGGTGTGAAGAGGGTGGATAACTGGCAGATTGTCAAGGGGGCTGCTGTGTAAACTGTGGAGTGAGGGCCTGTGTCAGGAGAATTGATGGGGGAGGAGCTTTGTAAGCTGGAGAATAGGATGTGTTTATCAGGAAGGAGAAGGGCTGATGAGGGGCCTGCCTTGAGAACTGTAAAGTGGGGTCCCGTGTCAGGAGGGTAACTGATAGGGGCCTGCCTTGTAAACTGTAGAGTGCAGTGTGGTGTAGGGACCCTCCTGTGGCAGGCCCCTCTCCGGTGACCCCTCCCCTGTGCCTGCAGGCCCTCCCGACCCCGGAGGCGCCCAGCCCCTGCTGGCCTGGCTGCTGCTGCCATTGCTGCTCTGCCTGGGACTCCTCCTCCTGGCCGCCTACTTCTTCAGGTAGGAGTGTCCCGGCCAGCCGACTTGCCCCAGCAGGCTGAGGAGGAAGTGAGACACTGCTGTGGACGGAGGTCGGGCGTGGGGCGCTGAGAACGGTGGTGGCCGAGGTGGCCGGCAGGGAGCCCACCATGGGCAGCAGGAAGAGCTTCTCCAGGCTCACCTGGTGGGTAGCCTGCCCCTGGCCCGGGCCCTCAGGGGCCCAACGCTGACACCTAACTATTCTTCTCTCCCAAGGTTCCGGAAGCAGCGGAAGGCCGTGGTCAGCGCCAACGACAAGAAGATGCCCAACGGGATCCTGGAGGAGCAAGGTATGGCCACCTGGGCAACCACCTGGGTGGGCAGGCGGGCCAGGTGCTTCCTCCTCGGCGGCCACCACCTTTCTCCCAGGCCTCCCTCTGCCTGGAGGCCCTGGACTCTGGTCTCACTCTGCAGACGTTCTGTTGGCATCCGTCCTTCAAAGGCCTCCACTTGGAGGATGGCACTTGCGCCCCCCTCTCTGTGTGTGAAACAAGGCGGGCATTTTCGTGTGTGGCTCCCCTGGAGAAAGCTCCACGTCCTGTTGTTCTCAGAGCATGAGACACACTGTGCTTTCACTCGCTTCTTTAAACCTACCCTGAGATAAGACAGCCCAGTTCCTAGTGGGAAGTACCCCATCAAAATCCAGGCCACCTAAACAAGGGGTGCTGGTGCTGCGATCCAGGGGAGATGGGGATCAGGATCCTGGTGGTACAGTGGTTAACACATCAGGCTGTTAACTGAGAGATCCGTGGTTCAGCTCCAGCTGTTCCACGGAAGAAAGGTGTGGCAGTCTGCAGTATGTTTCAGTAGATCTTAGAGTCTCGCCATCCCAATGGGGTAGTTCTGCTCCGAGAACAGACTTGGTGGCAGTGCGTTTTAGACCCGGTGTGGAGAACCTGGGAGGACGGACGGGTCAGTGCTCTGCCACTAATCATAAGGTTGGAAGCTCGCGTGGTTTTTACCCATAAGCACTTTAGGAGAAAGGCCTGCCATCTGCTTCCCACAATTCAGCCCCTGGAAGCCCCCGGAGCCCAGCTCTTCTCTGACACACAGGGCCAGGAGGTGGAGTCAACACTGCAGCACCTGGTTACTTGGTGGGACCATCTCCACTTTTCCTGCCGTATCTGAGTTCAGTTACTACCTTGGAACTGATTCCAGAGGAACTTTGTGCTCTCAGAGTTCTGAGTGTGCTTTGAGTGGGAATTTACGGAGCAAATCTGTCACCCGGATTCTTTTGCGTTGTGTTAATGACAGTCCCCACTTTACAATAGCGCTCTCCCTGCTTCCTCCCTGTGTCTCCCATTTCCATTCGTCCTCTGTCCTTTCCATCCTGAGCTTTCTCCCTGGACAGGAGCTGACCTTTTCATCTCAGTGCCTCCCTGCTGTCACTGTCCCCTGACAGGCTTGTTTAGTGTTTGGCCAAAGGCCACAGTGGTGGCGGTTCCACGAGTCACTAGCACTGTTCGACGGACTGGTCTTCCTGTGATTTTAGGTTTTGTCCCGTGTCTCCCCACCCCTATTCCCACCCTTTCGTTGGGAGCCCTGGAGAGTGGTCAGCCAGGCTAGCCGGGCACCAGCTGGTTCTTCTGGTTTCAGGGTCGCAGGGCACATTTGTGTTTTCATATGTTTATAATGTTGAGAAAAATGTGCATTGTAGGTGTGTGAAGTATGTGAGGCAGGTGTGCAAGGAAGCAGTATACGGGTATATGAAGAGGGCGTGCGAGGGTTGTACATGCGGGGCCACGTCTAAGGAGGGTGTGTAAGGTAGAAAGTGTGCAAGGAGAGTGTGGGAGGCAGACATGCCAGAGCACAGTTTCCCGCACAGCCGCTCCCTGGAGGCAGTGTCCTGGTGGACAGCACTTGTAGAACAACCAAGATAAAGAGCTGCTCAGCCAGAAAGAGCAAGACTTGGGCACGGACAGCACCCCCAGACACAGAGCAGGCTTCACAATGCTTGGGGGACCCTGACTCCTTTCCATGACCAAACACCCTCCCCAGTGCCGCCCCCCTGCCCTGCTCCCACCTCACAGCAGAAAGGGAAGCAGGGGTGGCCCAGCACAAAGGAGACTCAATCCCCTTTTTTGATCCCACTCTCTCCAACTCCAAGAAGGGCTGGCCCTGGGGGGCCGTTGCTAAGCCTCAGAGACCTGACTGGTGGGCGGACCACTGTAGGTGTGACCACAGGAGGGATGCTGGCCTTGTTGAGGAGGACAGCAGATATCACCCCAGAAACAAGCCCACACTGGCCCTTTCACTTCTTGTTTCTCTTCCTGACTTGGGGAAGCGGTCCATGCAGAGATACCCTCAGAGCACCGCCCTTCTCCTTGCCTGACTCCAGGCTACCCAACCTCTCCGCTTTCTGGGAGTTCACAGGGTTTGTGTGCCCAGAGGGGGCCTTGCATCCTGACTGACCTTTAGCCCTGATCATGGAGTTGATTAGGCCTCAGGCAGCCCTGGAGTGTCTGAGAAGACTGCTGTTCTCAAGGACTGATTGTTGTTACCCTGATGGGTGTAGATTACCAGCCTTTCTTCCAAGGCGCTTCAGGATGGACGCGAACCTCCACCCTTTCAGTCAGTAACTGAGCCTGTTAACCAGAGTTAGAATCCACTGCTAACCTCGGATATTGTGATCGACTTTGACTTACGGCTTCTCCACACGTGTGGACAGCCTCCATGGGCTTCTCAAAGTCATGGCCTCCTGGAAAAAGATTGCCGAGTGTTTACTCCGCAGCACCTCTGGGCGGGTTTGAACCCCCAGCCTTTCTGGTGGTAGTCGTACTTGAGCATCTCACCAGGCCTGACACCAGGCCCTCCAGCTCTCCTGTTTGCTACACCAGACCCTCTCCTGCAGGAGCTCAAAGCCATGTTCACCCCGCTGAGGGAGGGGCAGGGTGGAGGAAGGGCAAGGGAAGTGGAGCAGATGTGGGGTCTGGGCAGAGGACAACAAGTGACACAGAGTGAGGAGGCACTGGGGTGGGGACTCTGACGCTCACGGCAGCATGACTTCAGTGGGGTCATTTCCTCTGGCATGGTCGAGATATTGAGTCACTGTCCTTTAATATGACTAAGCTGCCTGCATCTCTTTGGTTCCACAGAGCAGCAGAGGGTGATGCTTCTCAGCAGGTCCCCCTCAGGACCCAAGAAGTACTTCCCCATCCCGGTGGGCTTCTTGGAGGAAGAGGTCCGTCTGCGCTCGGCTGATGACTGCAAACGCTTCCGAGAGGAGTTCAATGTGAGTGTGGATGGGGGTGGGGTCTGTGATACAGGGGACCAGAAACACTGCCAGAGACCCCAGAGACACAGACACTGCCTGGGGGCCTCGCAGCCCCACCTGGTGATCCCGAGAGGCCTGGGTTCCTGAGCTCCCCCCACCCTGCCTCTCACCTGGAATGAGATGAGGGAGTCGCTGTCTCCTGACAGTGGAGCTGGGTGCAGGACACACGGTGAGGCCATGTCCTGAAATGAGTGTGGCAGAAACAGTGTCCCTAGGTCGTCCGGGGAAGGGAGAAGGAGCACAGCACACGTGGATACTGTGGGCTGAGGGCAGTCGTGTCCCCAAGCCTCCTCTGCTGGGCACCCGGAGCTCAGGGACTCACTTGGAGGGGGTGGCCTTTCTTCTGCATGGTCATCCCAGCATCAGCATGGTCCGGCTGTCAGATTGCCAATGGGACAGTGAACTGACCAGCTGGCAGGGTCCTCCAGCAACTCTCTGTGCCTTTCTGTGCTCCCACCTCCCTCATGTGGGTGAATTTTTATGTAATATTCTGTGAATTTGTCATAGGTGTGAGTCCATTATGTGCACTATAAATTTTATACATATAAATATAAACCAAAACCCTAACTCACCTTCATTGAGTCAAGTCCGGCTCATGACAACTGTCTGTTGAGCTTCTGAGATTATAAGTCTTTACAGAAAGAAGCTGCCATCTTTCTCCTGAGCCGTGGCCAGTGGATTGGAACAATTGACCTTTATGTTACCAGGCAAACACAGGCACTCTACCTGCAGGACTTCTTCATGGATACAGGAATGTGTTACAAATGCAGACATATGTATCCAGAAATGCTTTATAAATGTGTTTGTAATACATATGTATCTATTCTATTTACTAAAAATGGAAGCATTACAAATGTATTACAAATGCTATATATGCTTATATAGAAATGTATTTATTTAAAACCTGTAAATCTGCTGCATGTATTATACATGTTATATAAATATAAATATATATAAATGTATTTATATAAAATGTAGAAGGGTTTGTCTAAATATATATTAATAATACATGTATTTATAATATATACATCTACTACACTTACTATAAATTAGTGCATTATGTGTCGTACATATGTTTATGTATATGTGTGCATGTGCATGTTTGTGAATATGTGTGTATATATATATATACACACATATATACATATATATGCATATGTATATGCTGCTCCATACTGTTGAGTCAAAACTGACTCAGAACTGACCCTCCAGGAGATTTTCCAAGGCGGTGACTCATATGAGAGGAGACAGCCCATCTTTCTCTCACAGAGTAGCTGGGGAATTGAACTGGCTGCCTTTCAAAATTAACAGTAAAGTCTTTATTGTGGTTTAGTTAAGGGAGTATCTTTAGCTTTTTACAGCTGAGATACAGTTTAACTTTATTGTTTGAATTCAGAGCTCAACCATTACTACTAGGTCCCTGCATTGTAAGTGTATGTGTAACATATATGTGTCCACCGTGTATTCTAAATGCATGTGTGTGCCACCTACAATGTACCTGCCTCCACAGACAGAGAGACAAGTGTGTCTGCCCTTTGTTGACAGGGTTATCCGATGATGTCGACTTTGATTTCAGCCTTCTTTATGTGCACAATTGAGTGACATCAGTGACAGTTTACACGGTGTACATCCTCTGTCACCACCTTTTCCTCACTTCTCCCTGAGCCACTAACAGAGCCTCATGTTCCCAAAGCCAGAACGTGCCTTTCCCTCTGTGAGCCCCGTGGCCACTAATGTGACCTTTGGGTTTGGTGGACTTGCTTGTCATGTAACTGAGATCAGCCAGCTTTGTCCTCAGCGTCCGACTTCCTCCCCTCAGCAAAGCGTGATCATGGTCCATCCACCTCGCAGCATGGGCCGGTGATGCCCACTTAGGGCTTATGTCCTGTTGTGTGGACATGTCCCTCCATTCATGAGATGAGTCCCTATACAGTGTTCACATCTAAATCTTCCTGCACTCAGCTCTTACTGGAGGAGGACAGGCTTTCAGATAGGAGAATTTGGGCTCAAACCTGGCATCTCTGTCCACCTTGTGGAGTTCTGTCTCCCTTTCTGCAAAGTGGGGGCAGGCTGGGTGCCTGTCTTATGCACCTCACAGCCTGAATGTGAGGATGAAAGTGCTTTGTGACAAGAAACATGACAGATATGCCATGGTCACATCTGAAGACCCAGGTGTCCTGGTGACACAGTGATTGCAGTGCTTGGCCGTGACACCGCTCTGCAGGAGAAAGATGAGGCTGTTTTCTCCTGTAAAAAGTTACAGCCTTGGGCCCCGGGGACAGCTGTCGGAACTGACTTGCTGTCCATGGGTTTTAAAGTCCTGGCCACACACAGGAGACTGCTCACAGACACAGCCGCAGTACAGGAAGGTGAGGGATGGCCAGTGTAAACTGCGCTTTGCTTGTTTTTAGCACAAGCCTCACTCTTTGTGCTGTTTCTTTTTGTTGTTTCCAAGTGAGTTCCCTTTTTGATGAAAAATCAGGTCATTTTGATTGGCAGTGCCATGCAGGGCCGTTTTGCAATCTCTCAGCCTGGCTGGACGGCCGGGGCCTCCCCTGCACGCCTGGCCTGGTTCCCTTGCACTTCAGGCCTGCTGGTGCAGGGCTGTGAATCAGATCTGCCGGACTGAGCTGGCCTGTCTCCAGCGGGGACAGCCGAGGACCTCTTGGGACACAGAGTAGAAACACTCCAAATAACTTAGCAGAGAAACATTTAAAATACCAAAATGAACTAATTCCCCAAAAACTTAAACAGAAATACCATCCCCCATCCCCATTCAGTCAGTTCCAACCCACAGTGACCATGGCCGAAAGAGGAACTGGCCATGCGGTTTCCAGGATGACAGTCCTAATGGGAGGGAGATCTGGTGGCCCAGTGGGGAAGGAGTTGCTGTAGCAACCCAAAGGCTGGTGGTTCAAATCTGAAAGAAAGATAGGCAGTCTCCTCCTGGGCGATTTACAGCCTCTGAAAACCTGAAAGGTCAGCTGTGAGTCAGTGACTCCACAGAACATAACAGTGATCTCTGAGGAGTCAGGCAGCTTCATTTTTCTCCCTTGGTTGAAACCACCCGCCATAATCATTACCCCACTCAGGGATCCTTTTATAAGGACAAAACCAAGCCCACTGGCGTCGAGTTAATTCTGAATCCCAGTGACCCTGAAGGCCAGAGTTGAGCTGCCCCATCAGGGCTTTCTTCCAAGTTCACGACCCTTTATAGAGCAGGCTGCCACGACTTCTCCTGATGGGTTCCACTCACCTGTCCATCAGCAGCCAATCTGTTAACCATTGTGCCCCAGGACTCCTGTAAATGGCATTGTTCTTAGATGCCGTTGAGTCGTCTATATGCCAACCTTATGAACAACTGTCAGAACCACACCCTGTGCTGTACCAGCCTCTCTGTCTCTCCCCGTTCCAGCCCATTTTACAGACCCTGTGTCAGTCCGTCTGTTGCCCTGACCCTCCTCCTTTTCCAGCATGATGTCCTTTTCCAAGGACTGTCCCCTTCTAACAACGTGTCCAGAGTATGTGAGACAAGGTCTCTCCGTGCTGGCCTCTGAGGAGCACCCAGGTTGTACCTCCTCCAGGACAGGCTTGTGTTCTCTCTACAGCCACGGGCTCTTCACACGCTTTGCCAACATCAGTTCAATGTCATGATTCTTCTGTCACCCTAGTCATTGCCCAACTTTCAGAGGCATAGAAAGCAATTGAAAAATACCATGGCTTGGATCAGAAGCACTTTAGTCTTTAAACTCACATCATTGCTCTAGCATTTTTGAGAGGTCCTTGACAAGAAATTTTCCCAATCAAAACACTTTCTTAACTGCTGCTGCCATGGGTGTTGGTTCCAAGTAAATTGACCCAGAAATTCTACTTCTATTGTAGACCTAAGGAATTAGAAGCATGGATTCAAGCAGTTATGTACCCATCAGCTAGTCAGTGGAGAAAGCAGAGTGGTCTGTTTACACAGTCCAGGGTTACTCTACCATTAAAAAAAAAAATAGAGAGAAATCCTGATCTGTGTAACCATGTGGATGAGTCTCAAGGTGGTATAGAGTGAAATAAGTCAGACACGAAAGGACAAATACTGTCAGATCTGATTGATATAGCAAATTCCTAGAGGCAACGTACAACAGAGAGTGCCAGGGGCTGAGGGTAAGGCAATGAGCAGCTGCTTTTTAAAAAAATAATGCAAGCACTTTGTGACAAATCAACTTTTAAGGCTGTAAAGAAAACAAGATTGGGGGGGAGGTATTGAGATTTTAATGGAAGGTTATAGAGAACTTGAATTTCTATTCATTCATTGCTGCAGATCACATTTTCCTCCCTGCCCACCCCTCCCCCTCAGTTTGCTTTTCTCATTGAAAAGAAAAAAATATATATTTTATTGTTATACAATCCCCTGCCCCCAGTCCACTTTCCTATGAAGTTCTTATGCTGAACTCTTGTCATACAAATAATACCTAATCATATGTCCTTTTTAAACAGTTCTCTCCCTCTTCTGTTTCAATGCCATGTACATCATTATGCCCTCTTTTCTTAGTTTCCCCCCAAAAGCCAATGTCAGTCCTGTTTTATAACAGTGGCATTATGCAGTATTTGTCCTTTTGTGACTCAGATATTTCACTAAACTTAATGTCTTCCATAGTCACCCATTTTGCATAATATTTCATGAGTTCCCTGTTTTTCAATGCAGCATATTATTCCATTGTGTGAATATACCACAGCTGCTTTATCCATTCATTTGTTGATGAGCACTTGAGTTGTTTCCAACTCTTTTTTTATTGTGACCAAAGCAGCAATAAGCATAGGTGAGCATATATCTACTTGAGTGGCAGTTCTGGTTTCTTTAGGGTATATTCCCAGTAGTGGAATTGCTGCGTCAAATGGGATCTCTATCTCCAACTTTTTGAGAAAGCACCATACTGCCTTCCATAGTGGCTGCACCATTTTACACTCCCACCAACAGTGGATAAGGGTTCCAGTTTCTCTACAGCCTCGTTAGTGTTTGTTGTTTGCTGCTCTGTTGAATTTTGCTATTGTTACTGGGGTGAGATTATATCTCATAGTTGTTATGATTTGCATTTCTCTTTGAGCTAGGGATTTTGAACATTTCTTCATGTGTTTGTCATCTGAATGTCTTCTTTGGTGAAGTGTCTGTTCCTATCCCGTGCTTGAGTTATTTACCTTTATCTTGTTGTGGTGCTCGAGTATTTTATACATTCTAGATATAAGTCCCTTGTCTGAAAGGTCATTACCAAATATTTTTTTCCAGCCTGTGACTTACCTTTTTACCTGTTGGAGAAGTTTCTGGATGTGCATAAGGATTTGATTCTTAGAAGGTCCCATTTATCTATTTTATCCTCTCCTTGTTGTAGATCAGTGTTTGTTTTTTTTCTTTTTCCTGCCATCTCAGGCCCCAATACAGCTTCCAGAAATACTGTCATGGATCAGTCTGGTTGGTTATTTACAGTTCTAATATTGTGGTCATTGTGCATTTTTAAGATTGATCTTTATTTAGTTTGTTAAAATGCTGCTTTGTTTAATTAGTGAGGAATAGTTGTCTTGAGCACTGCACTCTGGGAACTCTCTGTGTGGGGTCAGCAGGGCAGCTGGGATGGGGCAGGACGCTGGGGGGGTGGGGGGCTGTGAGTCTGTGGGGGGAGGAGCAGCTGTGAAGAGGGGTGGGCGTGCTCAGATTGGAGAATGTAATCATGTTAATGAATTATTCGTGTAGAAACTGTAAAAACTGTACCAATTATTACATACACATAGAGAGAAGTTATAGGCTATAGCATTGTTAACGGAAATATCAGTGGTTCACATGGACTCGTTGCTCCACAGAGAAAGATTAAAAGTATCTTCCCAAAAACAAAAACAAAAAAAAAGCTATCTTCCAATTAAGCTTTAGAGCCTCAGAAACCCAATGGAGGGTTTCTGTGGGGTGGGCTGGACTTGACAGCAGTGGGAGTCTTGCTTTTCCTGAGCTTGCAAAGGTGACCAGGAGTGGTCAGCCACCCGTTGGGCTCCCATTTTCTTCTCTGTAACAGGGGTGTTCCTTGGTCACTCAATGGGCGTGTGGTGACAGCCAAGATAGATGGTATACTTGCCCACAGAGCCAGGAGGTATCTGGAAATGAATGCCTTGCCTTCCACTTCAAGGCCAGGGGTCCTTGGACCAGGCTGGTCAGCTTTACATTCATCGACACTCCCAGAGGAGTTCCGAGTGGTGGAAGGAGCTAGAAGGCAGAATACCTCACAGCAGCCTTGTCCTGCAGGTCTCAGTCCTGATCGTGGGGCTTCACATCTGCACACATCCTGCCAGGTCTCACTGGGCACAGGACCTCACAGCCTTGTTCTCTAAAGTGAAGGAGGGGTCTGAGTGGTGCTCCCTAAAGTGCTGTGTGCAGATGCTCATGGGCATCCTTGCAGGACGCTGGGCAGGACTCGGGCACCTGCGTTTCCAGTGCTCCGCAGGTGAGATGGAGCTGCGGCCCATGGAACAGGGTCAGGACTACATCTAAGTCTGTCCACCTTGGGGAATTTTCCCCTCCACAGAATCCCAGGCAACCTCTCCACCCCCTCACTCTGGCCAGAATCTGTCCTATCTGTCCGACATCTCTATGGAGCCCCTGCTCAGGACCAGGGGGTCCCCCCAAGATGGAGGGAGAAGGGGGGCAGTGCAGGCTGCCGCTCTGTGCAGGGTTCAGTCTGCAGGAATGGTCACCTGTCCACGCAGGAGGGACATGAGCAGTGTCTTTTTTCCTAGGCACCAAGCCGGAGCCGGGCTGGGGCAGGGCTGGGCTGCGGACAGAGGCAGTTTGCTAGAAGCTCCTTGGACCTGAGGAAGACAGTGTTGTGGTTTGTTCCGTGTGGTGCTAACTCTGCGTTCTCTTCTAGTCTCTGCCGTCTGGACACATCCCAGGAACATTTGAACTGGCAAATAAAGAAGAAAACAGAGAGAAAAACAGATACCCCAACATCCTTCCTAGTAAGTAAGACTTTGTTGTTTTTCATGCTTAGAGGGTTTGGGATCACAGATCTGGCCTTGCTTCTTCCGGAAGTGGGGGCTCTGTTGTGCATGGGAGGGTCCCAGGCTCAGGGACCTGGCCTGGCGCTGGTGGCCTGGGCAGCTGCATTGCCCCTGGTGCCCAGCTTGCTCTTGCTGTTGCGGCCCAGGCAGCTGGGTGTCCTGGGCAGGGTGGTGACAGGCCCCTGCACCAGCTGGCAGTGCCCATCTCACTAGACCAGGACCGGCTGTGCTCCGTGGATTCAGCCCCCTTGGCCACAGACAATTAAGCCCCAAACCTCGGGGACTGTAGACAGTGTAAAGTGAGCACAGACAGGCCGTCAGGATCTCAGGACTTTGTGGAAGCCTTCGAGTCAGCCTGATGGGACTTTGGGTAGAAAAGGTGACTTGGGTCAGGGACACGGTGACAGAGAGACAGGCCGCAGGAGCTGAGGGACAAATCTGCACCAAGACCATCTCGATGACTTGCTACTGTGTGAGGGACTGTGCCCAGGCCGCCCTCCATATCCTCCTCACCTGTGACTCCCAGCTGCCTTGGCAAGGCCCCTTCAAACTGGACGCCACCACCCAGCCGGGACCCCCCGGGGCTGGTGGCATGCAGTGCCCTTTTCCTCCTGGGTCTGGTCTGAGCCGTGCTCCTCTTTCCATCAGGGACAACCGGGGGAAGCAGCAGGCTCGCCCAGGAGACAGGCGTGCGCATGTCAGCTCTGGCTGCGTGTTCAGGCCAGGCCTGAGCCTATCTCCCCGGCCTGACCTGCGTCCATGTGTCTGTGAGGCTGGTCCCTGCAGACTCTGAGCTCCTCGCAGCTTCTTTCTCGTTCTGCAGTTTCCATCTGTGCTTTCATAAAACCCACCAGGAGCCAATGGTTCTGTCAACTGGAAGACATTAATCCATTGAACTTTCATTAGTTGGGAGAAGAAGGTGTAGGGGAGACCAGCCAGCTAAGCTGGGGTTTGTGTGGAGTCAGGTCAAGTCCACTGTGATGCCGGCTGAGCCAGGGTGGGCTGGGGGTAGGGGAGTGGGCAGGCCCACTGTGATGGCCGGCAGAGCCTGTGAGCTTGTGCAAAGTGGTCAGGTTGAGAATGTATTTCAGGAAGGCTCCACAGGGTCCCTGCTAAACCAGACACCAGAGTCTCAGGGATGAGCGGAGCAGTGTGTGGCTTGAACGGGGTGAGCCTGGGGGACAGCTAGGACTGTGAAATGAGCAGGTGGGATCATTGAAATCATTCCGGTCCAATAGAAACAGGTATTTAGAAACAATGAGCATCAGGTACAAGTCTAAGTGTTTGACTAGCTGCTTTGTTGCGTTGATGTGTTTCTTTGCGCGCTGTGTGTGCTGAGGGCTGACTCAGCGCCACACACCAGCTAGGGTCTTCCTCTGCGTTTTCCCTGTTAAGCACAAAGCCCTCCATCACTCATGAAGAGAGTCTCACCCTCAGTCACAGGCCTGAAGGAAGCACCTCCACCCCCGACCCTCACCACTGCCGCCTCCCCGGTGGCATCAGTCAGCAGGCTGTGCTTGCTGGGTGCCCTGCCCTGCATTCTGACCCACAGTGACTGTCCACTGGGCTTGGGGTTTTGTTTTCTTATATGTGTGTAGTGTGAGTGAAAGTTTACAAAGCAGATTGGTTTTTCACTCAACCATCCATCACACGCTGTTTTCTGTTAATGACAATGCCTGCTTTGCCCA